ATGCTATCAACGATGCATTAAAAGTAAAACCGAAAGTTCCATATTGAAAAGAATTACAAAGTCTTAAGCTATTAAACTGCAAGCATAAAGAACGAACATCAGCATGAATGTCAGTGTAAAAACCATACCAAAAAGGGCAGCCCTGATAAATATTGCAACATAATAAAAGTTTGGTCATGAGAAAAGGTCTTGCACTCCCCGTGCCTGTGGCATTTTCCTTCACCCCAAAAAAATACTTAAATGTTTAGTAAAACTGCTTGATGCAGATTCTTTCATAATATTGCAAAGAAATAATCAATAAGCGCTACGTCATTTGGCTTTTGAAATGAAGGCGCATCTGAAGGGTGCTCGCTCTTGGGGGTCCGGGTCTCTTCTTTGCATAATGTATTAAGTGGTATTTGGTTGCCAATTGCCTTTTTTGCCCCCTTTTGTTTTTTAGCACTGCAAGAAGCAGCTCTGCTCTGACGTCGCCTCCCTCCCGCTGTTGATTTGTCTAATTTGCATAATTTTTGCACGCGAAAAACACTCGAAAATTATACTGTATTTTGTTGTTGTTTTTCTTAGGTTTGGCATGCAAATTGAAAATTGATTTTCGTGAATTTTATTGCGAAAAAAATGTAAGAGGTGTCGAAGGTTATTGCCTGAGGGTGGTGAGGGGTGTTTCTTGTGTAATGGGGAATTGCATTTTTAGTTTTCTGTATGCTTGATTGCTTCATAAATCATATTTTATGGCCATAAACATGGTAACACGCTTGAATTTATTGAATTTAGGCACATTGAGAATCTCATTTTGATTGGCTTAATTGGTTGTGTCTTTGGGCTTGATTGATTTATGAACTGTTTGATGAATGGCCGCCAACCGTTGCATAATGTTGTGAGGCTACCAATTGAGGCCGAGAGAGAGAGACAGACTTGGGGGAATGTTCCCATGCCATTAGCTTGACCTTAACGCTTGCTCGATTTGGAGAAATGTGCCAAATATTGTATGTCTGAATATAGAATGGGATCTATGATGAGCCCACGCCCACTCGGCATGCCATAGGCCAAACGTAAACAAAGCGTGCCCAAAAATAGCTCATCCGCCCGCCCGGTGGCTCGATTAGCATCACAGTTCGCTTTTGGATGGTGTCTGTCCGCTGGCCAGTGGAACGTGTGGAACTCCCCTCTGCCTGAGACCCCACTAAAAGCTGTGCCCAGGTTGCGTGACACTTTTGCCAAGCGGCCTGGCTATCGACGACGCATTCGTTCCCTGGCTAATTGTTCACACTCAACACTCGGGGGCCACACCCAGCTGCTGCTGCTGCTGTTGCTCCTTCCTCTCGCTCTCCCGGTCACTCTCTCGTTTTGAAATTAATCTGTAAACAATTAAGGCGGAGGTGGATTGCAATGCCATACAATATTTCAAATTAATTTGCCACATGTGTGCCATTCGAGTAATTAGGTTTGCCCCGCGAATGAATTTTTTAAAAATAAACCTTCCCCCAATAGACGATTTGGTGGCATGGAGCAACAAATTCGTTGCAGAGTGGAGCGGCAATAAATTCAATAATTAAATCGGCTGCAGCTCCGCATTTAATTGTTAAATGGAAAAGTACGCAACAAAACACACAGCAGAGAAGACTGGAACGGGCACTGGCACTGGCACTGCTGATAAGACAGAAGGCACTACAAAAACAGTAAAACTAATGGATGGGGGAGGTTAGGTCGGTATTCCACGAGACTCACTTTCACACAAACAAACGAAAAGGCAACAAACAAAAGCAAACAATACAGACACGGGTTCGTTCAAGGGAACGTGGAAATTCAACAAACATAAACATATTCATGTCATGTGGTGGGTACAGAGGGGCAGCTACAGTATCACCTCGCTGTGAAAGACTTAGCTTGAGGTTGCAACAGAAAGATAACTGAAAATGATCTGGAATATTTATTATCGAATTGGGAACAAATTCCATTCGTAGAAGTTTGACTGTGCCCAAACAGATTATAAAGGCCGCCCTTTTCCGATATCTTTTGAGCTGGGTATTTCAGAAAAATGCTGATACGACAGAGACCCAGAGCAGACCCTCGACCCACACTTACGCACACGCACGCAGCGCGCATTCCCACAATCACACCCCACACGCACGAAAGCAGCTGGAAGGAGGTCTACCAGTCTTCCAGTGTTCCAGTGATTAAACTAATTGAAAATATGTTTTGGATTTGCTGTGTCTCCCACTCCACAAAGTTGTTTCCTAATTGAAATTGGAAAACTAACTGCCACAGAAGCAGTACACATTTACATTTACATATGTAAATGCAATGTAAATGTATGTATGTATGTATGCACGGTGGGGGTCCGTCACCCTAACGGTAAAACATGTGTAAATGCAATTTGCTTTTGCGGCTGCCGGGCAGTGTCAAGTGTCAGCTGTTCGCGCTCTTGCTCTCTCTCAGTCTTTATCTGTTGCTCTTGCTCTTTCTCGACCACTGACACGCAATATGGCGTCATGTCTTTGGCATCTAAAGCGCACACATACACACACACAAATGTACGTACATTACATATACGCGTAACTATAACCACATATCTGTGTGTACTGAAATGGTCAAAATGTATGCCACAATTAAAATAAGTGAACTCTAGTCTGTATGTCTGTATGTCTGTATGACATTTACTGGGAATTCTAGTGACCGAATGGGGCAAGTGGTGCCAGACAAACTACTGCGGGGGTTAAATGGTGTCAGTGGCAGCAATTCTTAAAGGTTTTTCAACAGTCTTACTTTCAACTCTGCTGTTTATCAGACCAGAGATTCCTTCAAATCCTTCAATTAGATTTCCAACCCAAACTGGTAAGTAAGTGTCATACAGGCAGGCTTTTAATGACTTGACAACTAACAATTTCATAAATATTAGTAAGTGTAAGAGTAACGCGGGCAGAGCACATTTCTAGGTCAGTAATAAGTAGGGATGAGCTCATGTGTAATAAATATTACTAGTATTAGCAGCTTTCCCAGACGGTAATAGCTTTCCCACTTGACAGCAGCTCAAAATAATACTTGCTCCAGTTCCAATTAACATCACAATGTTAATGCTCTGTTGAACAGAGCCCCCACCTGCTTGTGGAAAGTTGCACCCATTTGTCTTTTTCCCCATCTCAATTTAATCATTCAATCTCCCGTTGTATGACAGGTTGTATCTCCTGTTTACTGGCGCCTTGATAACAAAAATCGCATGCGACAAAATCCCTCTGATCGATTGGCAGAAGCTTCCAATCAGCGAAATGATAAAAATAGACACATTTTTCACACACAATTTCCCCGAAATAAATGGCAACGGAGCGCAGCGGAAAAATACGAAGGGTAGGCCAGAATTCTACTGAAACAATCAACTATGATATCATATGGTCGAATGAAAATTCCAATCATTTTACTGCTCTTCTTATCTTGAGATTGAGAGTGTTCGTGGGAGTAAATCTCGCTGCGTGCATGGCCTGGTCTAGTTGTTGCTGTTGCTGTTGCTGGCCAAAGCAGCTGTCAAGATAAGGATAAGACTTTAGTTGCAGTTTAAATTATGACGCATGCCCAGCCCGCCCCACTTGACTTTTGGCCAAAACGGAATGCCCAAAGGGGTGGGCTGACTGAGTCCAAGTTGGAATCTCTCCCACTACGGCGGACGACAAGAGTGTTCAAAGTTTGGCAAATCATTTAAATATAAACATTTGGATTCGCACAGCTGGTCAGCGTTTTGGTATTAATTCCTTTCGTATTTGGCAAAGTGCCTCTGACTCATTTTGGATGATTATAAACGGGGCACAGGCAGAGGCAGAGGTCTTAATAAAGTGTACATAAATATTCAGTTTAAATCTGCGTTATTGAAGAATTGTGGTAGAACATAATTAACACCTTTCCATTATCGACCAATCTTTTTTTCCAAGGTGTTGCCGCGTATATTTTCATCAATTTATTTAACTTTTACCGTCTAGCGGGTATCTTACAGTGGGCTTATTGCATTACTACCTGTTTTTTCGTAGAATTTTGTGTCATTTTATTGATTAACTAGTATCCAGTCATGCCCTAACGGTCTCTCTTTCTCACATTTACTCACTCGCTCGCTGGAGAGATGTGCTCTCACACATGCAAATTGGGTTAATAACATATTTCCATGTTTGCTGTTGGCGTTAGGATGACTCTTGCTTTCGCCGCATGTTATTTTCCCAGCTTTTTATTGATTTTTCTTATTTGCATTTCGGGTGAAAATGCAGCATAGCGCTGGAACGCTCTCAGGGGGTTGTCCGCCAAAAACAACACAAAAAAAACTTTTTATTGTGAGCGGCTTAGTTGTAGTATGCGGCACACATACACACACACACACGCACAGAAGCTGATGTCTGCGAAGAGAGAGAGGAGAAAGAGAGAGCTTGCTTCCTACCCCAATTCCGCCTGCTGGCGGCTTTTGGTGGCGGTGGGCTCCACCAAACAACCCACGCATACACACACACTGGCAAAAGCCACATGCACGAAGGGAATTCCAGTTGCAGCGGCGCTGATTTATCGATTTTTCACACACGCAAATCCTCTTGGTCAACACTGAGATTTTCGGCAATTACATAAAAAATTGCGCTATAAAATGGCCAATCGGACGAATAAAATTAGCACCAGGCCAAAAATAGCTAGGGAAATGTCATCCACCCACTCTCTGGGAACGTCGTCCGACCCCAAACTGTATTCCCCGATGTGGGTCGGCTGGCTGTCTACGTCTTCTTATTATTCTTTGCGCAATAATTTCTAGCTGCCCTTGAGTCTTATTTACTATTTCTTTTTTACCTGCCTTTCGTGCGAAACACACGCACACGCATGCATTCACACAAATGCAGAGGCGGTTGCAAAAGGAGACAGCGGGAGATAGGATAGCGACAAAGAAGATGCCAAAACCCACACAAAAACTGCAGCACTTTCATGTACACATGCATACATATATGTACTATATTAAGCCGTGTGTATACTTGGCGTGTACTTACATTTAAGTTGGCAAGAGATTCGCATGAAATCGGACTTAACTGTAACCAAAAACGGGGCCTGGTCCGGCCAAGCTAGGTGATGGCTGCTCTTGTGTCTGCCACCAAATCAACAATTAGCGCTTAAAACTCCACTTGGGGGCGCATTTCACGACACTTTCATTAACATTTTTCATACATTTTTCAACTCTTTGGCTCCACAAAAAGGAAACACTGCGCGAACTTGGGGCGAATACATAACTGGTTTTTCGTTTTCTTTTGGCTTACGGCTTACGGTTAACTCGGCGCGGTTCGAACTTTTTTTTCGCTTGCGTTTCGCTCTTTTTTAAGAACTACTCGATTGGCTTTGCACTCTTTCTGTTTTTTTTTATTCAGCGCTGCAGCCGATTTTGTTAACAATAAACAGTTTTGTTTAAAAATTCGGCACACAAGTGTGCTTGTGTTGTTGTTCGGCGGTCTTATTATAAGGGTTGTCAAATATACATCAATATATCAATATATCGATATTTTTTTAAAATAAAAATATATTTGTATCGTGATTTTTTTCCCAAAATATATACATTTTTATGTTTTTGTGATATTTTTGTATATTTCAAGTTCGGTAACTAACCACAGGATCCAAATAAATATATACGGTATATTGTATTTGTGCACAAAAGTGGATGTATGTAACCCAGATTGGTTTTTCTCGAATTTAAACGGACACCGCATGTGTGTGTTAGTGACTTGACTATATGGTTAATTGCCACGCAAGCCAACTGAAAAGACCTCGGCAAAATAATTTTTTCTCAGATTTCTCTAGAAAAATGGAAGAGTGCAATGTTGTTTTTGTGAGAAAGTGAAAAAAGTGGAATAAGGATTAAAGATGTTTAAAACATATGTAAAGTTTCTGTTTTCTTTATGGGAGTTATTTATTTCCAATTGAATTTTAGCATATATTTACAAGCTAAAAAATTTCAAATATATCGATATATTTTCAGTGATAGCAAAATATATCACGTCTATGATATTTTTTGTATTATTTGTCAGCCCTACCTTTAAAACGTGCCAAGCAGTGAATCTTATAATATTTTCCTCGATTTTGATGTTCTATTTGATATTACTAGCTTGCAAGCATTTTTAACACTGAAAAAATAATTTAATACTGTTGAAGAATCAATTTGACGAATTCTAAACACCAATTGGTATTGATTTGTATACCTTATGACCTTATATTTTACAAAATCAAACATTCAACTCACCCCTTCTGGAAGCAAGGAAACTTTGTATACAGTAGTAAGTGCTTGTAATATTTAGAGTCATACAAATGTTTGAAAAAATACGCGCGCAACCAAAGAGATAAGAAATTCTATTATTTTGGTGAAAGGGAGAGGGAGTGCGAACATTAGTAAATATTAGAATGAGCCTAGAGTGGTTAGGGGTGCAGTTATTTTATCTTTACAACATATAAGGGGCTAAACTCCGATATATCCACCCGATATTGGAGTACTGTTCTTGTGTGTGTAGTCCTTCTCTAACTAATCACCGATTTCTTTGATTTTAATAAAGAAATAAAATCTTGTTTTTTATATTCTCTCACCATTGTCAGGGAAATCCTTTCCTGCAAGACGCTAATTAATTATAATTAATATTAATTTAAATATATAATTAACTATTCAAATAATTCTGTATCCGTTTTTGCATGATACGGCAGCACAGCTTTCGAAATTGATTACAGTTATTGTCAGTGTTGCACAAAACGTCAACTATCGATGACGGTCAAGCAACATATAAATTGGTGAGTAGTCGAGGAAACTGTTTCAAATTTGAATTTAAAATAAGAACTAAATGGAAATTTTCTAGCCTCTAGTCTAAACCAAACCTCATAAATTCAAGATAATTCGATTGAGGCATGTAGTAGGTTCTTGATCCACAGCTTCACATGCTATAAATATGCTGTGAGTATAAACATTGCGAGGTGTGCTTGTATGCGTCTTCTGCTACCACTCTTGATGTTGATCGCAACCGGTTTTTGCAACCATATTTTCAAGAACAACAGCCAGCCAGGCAGGCAGCCATCAGCAATTGTGAGGCATGTTTCGCTGCTGCGAAAGTCCTCAAGAAACTTTCTACTTGTCCCCCGCCTGATGACTAATTTGCCAAGAGGCCGCCTCGGCGAACGAACTGAAGAATATTCCCTGGGCTGTGACATTTTGCTTCTAGCTAAATTGGGCATTTTCCAAGAAAACCCCCACATTCAGCTCACACAGTAGCAAAAATTAATCTATATTAGTTCTAGGTTATCGAGCCGAAATGCACTGACGTACGTCGGTCCGTACGAGTTTTGAATGCATTTTTAATGCGAACGAGGAAATGGCGTGCCAAAGTGCGGAAATATTTAATCCAAAGAGAGCCGCAGCTAGAGAGAGAGAAAGCATAGAAGAAGGGGGTAGAGGTAGAGAGAGAGGGAGAACAACTGAGAGAAGTTTTTTTTTGTACTCCACTAGGAGCCAGCCACATTCTCGGATTACATCAACAGCCAACAGAAAACTTGTTGTAACTTTTTTTTAGAGTCGATTGAGAACGTGAAATACCCAGACGCAGACCCAGACGCAGAGCAGCGCTGATTGTTTGGGAAAACGCCGACTGTGACGCTGTACGGCCAAACAAGTGGAGCCCATAGCCAGAGACCCGAGATCCGAGAGCAAGTCTGAAAGCATTTCAATATACTCTCGCCAGTCATTCGTTTGGCTTGGTCAGTTCTGCCACAAATAGCGTGCCGAGCGGTCGCACGAATTTTTCACTGCAAAATAACTCGAGTGGCTTTTCAGATACTTTTAACGGATAAAAACAGACAAAGAAATTCATTTAGACTGTTGCCATTAATTAATAACGTTTAATTAAGCCCAAGAATGAGTGACCTAGAGCAAGTTACACTGCAAATGGATGATAAAACACTGACCAGAAATCAAGTGAGTTGAACAGAACGGCCATTAATCTCGCGCGCACCCTCCGCGCGCACAAATCTCTAGACCGCAAAAAGCTCATAATATAAATTGTAGACAGACACACACTATAGGCAGCTGATCAGCAATGCCTGATAATTGTAGGGTAAACAGAGGAGCGGAGCAGCCAGCTTCCCAGGGAGTTTTGGGTAAAGGAAAGTGACTGACGAAGCGGAACCAGCACAAAAATCCCCAAGCTTAGTCATTGCAAATAGATCTCCTGCACATAAAATGAATCGGATTTGTGAAATACAAATATTTGTTTAATGTTTGGCATCCACTTGTGGCAGAAATCAATCTGGAACATTTGGCAGCAAAAATGAATCTCTTTGTTCTCTCTCTTTGTTGAGTGCATAAAATCTTTGCTGGCAGCATATATAATTCTGCTGCCCAAGGAAAGTATGCACAACACATGAATAAATTCATTAAAATTAATGCCAGCAGCTACCCGGTTTGTTTGCTCTCCGCAAGTTTATCTCCTTTTTTGTCAGCGCAGCTTTTCATTTCTTTGCATATAAAAATACAGAATAAACACATACATTTTGTGCTTCCTTTCAATGCTCAGTGTTATGTGCAGATAGGCATATAGTACACACTTTTCGCGTTCATGACTGATTTTTGCATATTTATCAGAGTTCCGAGTAGCCTTTAACACATAATAAACACTGCTTAGCATTTGTAAACAATGCACAAGTATTTACATTACCCAACAGTGAGCAATTTTAATACTGGTCTTCATTTTTCATTTACTTGCAGGAGAGCAGTCAGAATGCTGTAGGCAATCGCATACCCCGAGCAGGTTTGTATTTTTCTAGCTTCATCTTTGAATTGTAAATTTAAATCTTGCTGCTTATAAATGTTGTCCTGTGACTAATGCTGCCTTAATGTAAACATAACTTTAAATCGTTTTTGTGTGTAAGTAAAATTTAAAAATTTGTAAAAAATGAAGATTAAATATTTCTCTTTGCTTACCCCTCTCTTTGCACAGTGCCCGAAACGGATGATGATGACGATGATCGTCCCTTTGTTAAAGGTGGCAATGGCAATCCCGGCGTGGACGATGGACTGCTGGGCAATGGCGGAGGAGGCGGCGGTGGTGGCGTCACTGTCATTGTGCCCAATGGCGGCAACAGAGGACGACGCCCCAGCTACATGTTTCCCGGCTACACTGGCCCCGAATTCGTGAACATCAATGGCGTGGAGACGCCCATACCCGATGTGAATGCGTATCAGCACAAGAAGACCCTGGCGCAGGGCATGATGGATCTGGCGTTGCTCTCGGCGAATGCCAATCAGCTGCGTTATGTGCTCGAAATGAACCAGCAGCATCCATACTTTTATCCCAGTCTCTTGTTCATCTCACTGAGCATTGTATTCCAGGTATTTTATTGCACACCATTTGCATATTTTTCACGTTTTTTCACGTTTTAAATTCCCTTTTTGGGGACTGTCTCCCTGCAGATCGCTGTCGGCGTTGGCCTTATTTGGAACGGCAGATACAACATCAAGAATGAGCAAGAGATCTGCCGGGCGAATAAAATCAATAATTACACAGTCATCGGCGTATTCATTGTAACGGTTGTCAATGTTTTAATATCAGCCTTTGGCGTCGTCGAGCGTGCCCCAGTGCCAGTGAACACTTTGTAGTTGGGCGCTGCAATAGATATTACTTAGTATATATAGTAGCATAAGCACCCACACAGTGTTAGTTTGAAACTCACCGCCACGACGAACAATACACCAACGCCTCATTTTTATATTGTGATAAATAAATCGAATCCCAATCCCGAAAGTAACTCACTCGTTTTGAATTTCTTGAAAAGGCGCCAATTGCTTGGCAAAACTATCGCCAAGCCTAGCGATAACTATGGTTATCGTTTCTGCGCATTTAACAACACTACTTTGCTAAAAGTCAGATTGGCAGCGCCCCGTCAGCTGTTGTTGTTTTACGTACCGTATCAATTCTGCATAAATTTAACAAATTTGTCGCTTGTTAGCTCAATAAACATGGCCAAGATTATTAAAGCGGTAAGTAGTCAAAGCCGCTCTATACTGAAGCCACTTGGAGTTACGGGAACTGCTGTAGAGACAGTCGCTCCATGGAATCCTGGTGTTGTGTGCCCAGTTATGTCATCGCTTCCTACAGTCCACAGGTTTGACCGGCCTGGCCGTGTCCACCAATCCACATCATACCCTGGGTGCGCTCTATGGCAAGATTCTGCGTGCCGTGGGCAAGATGCCACAGGAAGCCAGCTACCGCAAGTACACGGAACAGCTGGTCAAGCAGCGCGCCGATGCGGTGGCCAATGTAAGTTTGCTTTAAAGATTCATAAAAAGACTTCCTTTGACCCATGGTTATTGCAGAACAAGGACATCACCGCTCTGGAGAAGGCTGTTGGCTGCGGTCAGGTGGAGGAGTTGATTGTGCAGGCCGAGAACGAGCTGATCCTGGCACGCAAAATGCTCGGCTGGAAGCCCTGGGAGAAGCTGTCTCAGGCTGCGCCCGCCAAGCAGTGGGACTGGCCACCAGCACAGATTCTGGAGCCCAAAGTTTAGGCTTGCCTTTAGCCCATTAGTAATTATTGTTCTAGTTTGGAGTGCCGCTAGCACTGACATCGTTCCAAGCCTTGTTGACAGCGAAAATTGAATTGTAAACCGCAATAAATCTGTTGATTGTGAAGCTGCCTGATAAGCCCACGAATTTCAACCAAGAACATCTGTGAGATTTGACTGAGAGGAGTGCGCTGCTCGCCTCTCAGTTTACTTTCAGCATGCGTGCGCTTCACTACCTTCTGCTGCTGCTCATCGTGTTCACGGGGCTCGTGGCAGCGGCACCCACTGCGCGCCAGCGACGTCAGATTGACTTGACGCTGTCGGCGGATCATGACGACAAGGACGCCGAGACGGAGCTGGCCTTGGAGGCTATTGCTGGACTGTGGAGCAGCGCAGACAGCCGCACCAAGGTCGATGGATCCGCACGGGTGGTGCACCGTCACAATGCCATGCAATCTGGTACGGGTAAAACGAGCTACACGGCACGCGTACATCTGCATCATGACTATAAAACCAATGCGTATCCCTCGTAATCCATGTCTATCCATGTCTGTGTCCGTGTGCCAAGGTTCGGAGCAAGATTGGCGTCTGGGTGTGCGTGTCGTCTTCACTTAGGGCTGTCCAGACGGCTCAAGGTACCCTGTGGAATGACCAGTTGGCGTGCTCTCCCTCCGTTCGATGGACTGTACTCACTGCTCCTGATAACATTTTGACCTTCGACTTCGTAGACTTGTAAATAGAACGTTCCGTGTGAATATGAAACCGAAAAGCTTTATTGATTCCGTTTTAATTGGCTCCAAGTGCCTGGGCCTGTGCCTGGGCGTGAAGTACCGCAACAAATTTCAGCTTAAAAATACAACAACTAATTGCACAACAAAGCAGTACGTGTGTGTGTGTGTGTGTGTCTGCCGGAGGGTACACGAGGATAATAAATTAAGTTTGGACGCTTAAGTAGAAATGCCATGAGTAAATGTCCGTTAATATCTTTGCACACGAGTGACCCGAGTCAAGTCAAGTCAAATTAATTAATTAATTCAGGCTAATGCTGATGCCTTCGTTCTCCTGCTGCTTCAGCTCCTGCACAACGAAGTCACGAAACTCCCTGTAGGCCACCTCAATGTCCACGTTGTTGATGATCTTGTGGAAGTTGCCGGGCGTCAGGCCGTAGCTGATCTCCACCTCGGCGGCATTGAGTCGCTTGCGCAACGTCTCCTCTGTCTCGGAGCCACGTAGACGCAGCCGACGCTCCAGCTCTTTGATGGTCGGGGGATTGTTGAAGATCAGTATGGGATTGAGATCGGTTTTCCGTATCTGCTCCACTCCCTTCTGCTCAATGTCCAGTATGCAGACGCGTCCCTGCTTCTGGATCTCGCGCACGGCCGCCTTGCTGGTCCCGTACAGATTCCCAGTGAACTCGGCCGTCTCAATGAACTCGTCACTGGCGATGGCCTCCTCCATGTCGGCTCTGTCCACGAAATAATAGTGCACGCCATCCTGCTCGCCCTCACGCGGCTTGCGCGTGGTGTGGGAGACGCTGAAGCCAAATGTGTTGGGGAATTCGGCAAATAACAGTTTCAGCAGTGTGCTCTTGCCCGAACCGGAGGGGCCGCAGAGTACAAGCGGGCGTGGGCCTTGCGACATTTTGCGGCTGCTGCTGCTGAGTGCGCGGTTTACAATGAACAGAAAGCTAATCATGTTGTCGTCTTTTATTGACAGCAATACTAATGAAACGCGCGAAATAGGCCAAAAAAGCTGTTTTTTGGCTAAAATTAACAATTAACGGAGGAAGAAGCAGCAGTGTAAGCGAAGAGTGATAACGTGACCGCGAAATTATCGGTAAAATATACCGTCAGGGCCTCGAGAATATACCGAAATAAACCTTTGAATTTTCAAAACATACTGTAAATACACCGTAGTCTTAAATGCCATTCCACGATTGTGATGTTCTATTTGATATTACTAGCTTGCAAAGACATGCACCACTGAAACAATAGTTTAATCCAATTGAAGAATCAATTTTGCCTATTATAAATACTCTTTTTTATTGGTTTGTATACCTAATGACCCCCAAATCACCCCTTCTGGAAGCAAGGAAGCTTTGTATACAGTATGTTGGTGTATGTAACATGTAGAGACACATGTATGTTAACTGATATCATAAACATTTTTGAAAAACAGCGCGCGCAACCAAAGAGATAAGAAGTTCTATTATTTTTCTGAAAGGGAGAGGGAACATAAGTAAATATTAGAATGAAGTGGTTTTGGGGGCAGTTGTTCTATCTTTACAACATACATATTAGGAACAACAGATTCTCCGATTACCCATATGCAGTATAATGACGCCCAGCATTAACCTTTCCAGGTGTTATGCAATAATTATAATTATTTAATTAAACCTCACCATAGTTCAGCAATTTTGTAAATTGTATCTTTCCTTCCTCTCCTGTACTTATATTTATTCTTACTTCATATTCCATAACTAGCAGTTAATTTTTAATTGAAAATACATAAATAAATACTTGGTTTATAGTATTATAGTCAAAGTCTATAGTCAAATATTAATATATTTTTTATTATATATTTAGTTGTTCTCATTAGCTGTTCAAACTCCCTTCGCAAGGGAAAAGAGCTTTCAAAACTTCCTTAACAAATTTGCATCAAATCGATAACAGGTAAATACGTCACAAAAATTCCAGGTATGCTGCTCCCTTTTCGCAAGTTGAGTTAGTGGTGCCAAATTGGCTATTTCCCGTCAGAAATAGCCTTTTTCAATGTAAAATAGCGCGAAGGGAAATTCTAGAGCGCCATCCCAAGTAAACTGTTCGAATCCCGTACAAACCGTCGGTATTTGGTTTAAAAACTGTTATATTTTCTTATACTGTTTTACATTTTTAGCATAGAATTTCAAACACACATACACACTGAATCGACTGAATGACAATGCCGTTGTTTAGTTCTTAGTTTTTTGTTGCTTAAAATAATTACGAATTTTAGTTGGTTAATTTTGTTTTTTTTTGTTGTTGCTTTGCTTTTACGTTTTGTTTTTTGTTTTTTTCTTTTTAGTTTCTGTTGTAATTTTATATTTTTTGATCACATTTTGATTTCGCATGCCCAAAGTGAGTTTTGGTTTGTGTTTCCGAATGGTTCGCCTGAATGAAAACCTCCTCTACAAACTGATCCGTTCCCAGTTCTCCATCTCCTACAGTTCGACAAATCAAAAATATATATGTATATTTATGTATGTATGCATGTATGTATGTATGTATATCGTATCTATAGAGATTTATGTATGCGCAAGCCTCTGCCTCTGCCTCTGCCTCTGCTTCTGTCTAGATTCCTACATTGTATATAAGTTTTATGCTAATATTCAGTCGGTATTATAATCATGTTACTTTCCCATTCCCATTGGAGTGGGCAAAAGGTGTTTGCTATGAAATCGTTCTGTTCTGTTCTGTTCTTGTCTAATGGGAAGAGTATATAAATTTCGGTTTACCGAAGATATTTCATGCTTTTCATATATATTTACAATATTATAGGGATTAGCTTTTAGTTTTCGATGTATTTTGAAGTAGAAAGAGCTTTCCTAAGATGGGGCGGTACGGGTGCGGTTTCGGGTTCGGTATCGGGTTCTGGTCTCTGCTTCAATTAAATAACAGTAAAACTAACTTCAAACTGGAGCTGTAACATGGATAAGGCATGGTGTAAGGACTTAATCGGAACTGATTATGATATATAGCTTGTTGGGTGTAAATGTTGATGTTGGTAGACTGGCAATACAAGAATTTGTGTAATTTGTTTTCTGTAATTTATTATACCCTAACAAATTTGTTTACAACTAATTTCTAGTCATACGCTTAAAATTGATTAAAAAATAGAATTTATATATTTAGTCACGATGGTAAAAACTAAAGAAATTGTACGGCAAAATGGTTGATCATCTCTCGATTTCTGGGACTTATTTGTGCCCATCGCAGTGTTTTACAATACCCAAAGAGGCTGGTTAACAATTACAAAAATCTTTTGTTTGTGGGGGGGAGTAGGGCTTAGGGATGGGTATGGATGTGGCCCCTAGAAAACGGGGCAATCAATCGTCTTACGGCTAGGCATTCATTATTATTCATATTTAATATATAATATATTCAATTACTAGGAGCTTAAAGGTTGTTGTTTTTGCATTCATTCATTTATCGTTTGCTACATACATAATATATTCGTGGCATATCGTTTTGGGCTCTGCTCTGTATTGTAAATCAATCCACTTTATGTCAACGAAACGAAGGAAAAACTACTAACAATTGGGCTTAGATCGGTTTTTGTTTGTTGCTTGTTCTGCTTTGTATAATTGTTGTATAATTATAATATAATTATTGTTTACAAATAGCATAATTAATAGATACGTTTATATTTAATGTTTTCTTATTAGTTTTTTCTGTTTTTGTTTCTGCATTCTCCTTCTTATTCTTTTCTGTTTTTAAATTATAAAATTTCCTAATCAAGAAAACCATAAGAATAGTTGTTGTTGTTGTTGTGGTTGTTGGTTGTTATTTGGTAGCCTTAGGCCTTCCAGTTGTTCTGGCGACTGCCACTTGCTCCGCTCTGCTGCTGTGGTGGAATCATCTCCAACAGATACTGACGCTGCAGCTCCGCCGCTCGCTGTACATCCGCCATGCTGTTGGCATTACTCGAATTCTTGGACGAGCCCGATGACGAGCTGCTCTTTTTGTTGTTATTGTTGAAAGCTGTTGAAAGCGGAAGGGAAACTCCTTTAGTAAGGGTCTTTCTTTATGCATGTTTAAGGTTTTCTGCACTCACCTGCCACTTGGGCCGCCTGCGCCATGGCCACCTGATAGGAGTACAAGAGTGGTGCCAACTGCATCATATGCTGTGGATTGCCACCCAAACCCTGACCCAAAGCTGCAAATAAAATTCATTTATGACATTAATAAAGTCACCAAATCAAGATTTTGATTGATTTTCCTACCTCTGAAGAGCTGCTGTTGGAAAGCCTGCATGGCTGCCGCTGTGGCTGCTGGCGAGTTGTTGCCCATTGCCGCAGCAGCTTGATTGCTGCTGGCCGACGATGAGGCACCAAAGTTGCCCAGTCCGCCGAGTGCCGCCAGATTGCCCAGCTGGCTGAGATTACCCAGCTGGCTGAGATTACCCAGATTGAGGTTCATGCCACCCATGGCACTGAGATGTGCTGCCGCTGCCAGCGTGGCTGCCGAGTACTTGTCATAGCTCTGTGCCTGCTGTTGCTGCAGCTCCCGTTGCTGGTCACGCTGCTGCTGCTGCTGTTGTTGTTGTTGCTGCTGTTGTTGTTGCTGCTGCTGCTGCTGTTGCTGGTGGTGATGATGATCGTGGCGATCGTTGCGTGATGAGCGCGACGAGGACGCTGGCTCGTGGTGGTGCGCTGCCGTGGGTCCTGGACTGAGGATACCTGCCTGCTGGGCAGCTATAGCCGCCGCTGCGGCTGTGGCAGCGGCACGCGACGAACGCGGTGTGCTGGGCGGTGGTGTGGGCTGGTTTTGTGGTGGCGGCGGCGTGGGTCTAGGCGCTGGCGTTGGCGTCTGACACTTGGTCGGTATGACCGTCACAGAGGGCGGCAGATTGACCAGTGCAGCCGCTGCCGAGGCATGCGACGCCTGAAGCTGTTCACGCTCTCGCTCGCGCTGCAGCGCCTGCTGGTGCTGATGCGAATGCGACGAGGAGTTGCTGGCGGCGGACACGGTTAGCGAGGCGCTGACATTGTTCAAGGCATGCGTATCCACGGGCGATGGACTGCTCTGGCTGGCCAAACGCTGCTCGATCTCCTGCTCCTGCTGCAAGGCCTTGACGAATGCCTGTTTCAGTCGATTGGTGTGCTCCGCCTTCAAAGCCTTCTTCACATTCGAGGTGACACACTGCTCGCAAATCACCTTGGGATCCTTGTTGGCTATACAAACATTTTCTGATTAGTTTCATTCTCTTTTGGGTTTCCTCTTGCGATTTTCTTACTCTGTTTCTCCCACTTCCAGACGGGTGTAAAGTCAATCTTGCATTGTGCACATCGGAAGGGTGCTGCCACAGCATTGGCCTTCTTGTTGACAGTCAAAAAGTCAACGACCGTCTCCAGTCCAAGCAGATAGACAAAATCCGTGTTGCTGGGATTGGGTATAAAGTGCATCTCTGGTGGCGGTGGCTTTGGTGGGGGAATCTATTGAAAAATTTAAATATGTTTTAGTTACACTTTTCTCTTTGGTTCAACTCTCTCTCACCTGTAGCAAAGTCTTTTCCAGCTGCTTGCGCAGTGCCATTTTAGCCGCCGCCTGGCGCTGTGCCGGCGTCTGTGCATCCTCGCGTGGCGTAGAGCGATCATTCTGCAATTAATTATTATAAATCCAAACACCTGATTTAAATATTCTCATTTCTCTACTCACCTTTAGATCGTTCAGCTGATTCTGATGCGCTTGCGATAGCGGCGGCGCCGGTGTGATGGAAACAGAGTTGCTTATGGTTCCAGGTACCTTCGAATTATCCGAAATATTAGGCTGCATGTTTTCAACGATTTTTGTTTTGTTTTGTTTAAATATATGCGAATATAGAGCAATTTATAGCGTTTAATAGTTGAGCGTTAGGTTAGACGAGATTCAATGAATACGTAGAAAGTTAAGTTAAAATTTGTCGTGTCACTTTTTGCACGGAGCCTATTGAGAAGTGAATGACTTTCGGCTGATGTGATGTGATGTGACAGACGTGTATGTTAGTGTTAGTGGTATTAGTAGTGTTGGAAAAGTGACAACCAGTGTTGCACAGCAAGAAATATGCAGTGATAGTAGGCTTTTTCTACCATTTTGGGATATCAGAATAAAATTTTCTTTTGTTTCTAGAACTAGTTACTATTTTCTAGAAAATACTTTAGTGGTGAAGTTCCTAACATTAAAGAGCTATAATCGAGAATTCAGACCCCGAGCTGCTTGGGGATACTTTAAACTCAATTTTTCAATTAAATATTTAATTACCATTTGTTGGTTTGAAACTTTTCTTTTAGCTTGAACTTGTTCTTGAGCGATTAATTCATTTCTTTTAGCTTGAACTTCTTCTCGACCTCCACCTGGAGCCTCTCTTTGCTCCTGTGTCTGAGCTGCCCGACGTCTGCCTGTATCAATGCGAGACGCTTCTCGTGCGATTTCTCGTTGTTCTTCGGTGCAATTATTTAAATATTTGCGTCGGGCATTTATATTAACGCGGCGCTGTTCTCGTTCAATTTCAGATAATTGACTCGCGATTTTCCGTTGCCTAATTGCATTACGGCTTCGCTGGGAAAGATTGGATCTTCTAGGACGCGGCATTGTTATTAAAATTATTAATACAAAATTAAACAAATAAATAAAACAAATATTAAATATGATTAAAAAAATACAAATGAACTTTTTAGACAAATTTCTGAACCCGTCTGATGTCTATATAGATTGTATTTCCTATTTGTTGCCTTTTCTTCTTGTCATAGTTCTTGCTGGTTATTCTTGTTAGTGTTTAGTAAAGCGCATAGTGCACGGTGCAGTGTTGGTAAGCGTGAGTTTTTTGTTTTTGTTTTTGTTTTTTGTGTGTGTTTTGTTTTGTTGTTTCTGTTGGTTTTTGGTAATTTTTGGTGCTTTCTGAACAAAAATGTGAGTGAGAGAGGGGGAGAGGAGAAAAAACTCGGCGCTTACGGCAACGATGACATTACAATAACTCACATTGCGTGCTTTCAGACTGGAAGGCGGCGCCGACGTTGGCGTGATGGTCACCGAGGGCGTGATGGTGAGATTCGGCAGATTGGTGCGCGGCGGCAGTGCGCTCGACCGGTGCGATGAGGAGGTGGCAGGCGTGATGGTTGTGCCCGCGGCCAATGTGGCGCCGGGCGGTAGTGAGGCTCTGGGTGGCGGGAGGATCGAGTTGCTGCTGAGGCTGCCACGCTGCGATCCGCTTAGGGCTGCCGCTGCCGCTGCAATGGCCGAGGCAGCAACTGCCGCAGAGCTGGAGCTGCCCGTCCGGCTGTTGGCGCTTAAAAAAGAAACGCACACATTAAAAAGGATCTTGGGATCACATGGTATAAAACTCACCTGATGCTGACGGCAGCTGCACTGCCGCCCAGACTGCTGCGGCCCTTGCTGTGCGCCGGCTGGGGCACCGCCGACGTGGGCGTCACACTCAGCGATCCCTTGGAGGTGAGGGCGGCTGGTATGGCGGACAGCGGATTGTTGGGCGACACGCTGGTCGGCGTAACCACCATGTTCTCCTTCATCACCTGCTGCGACTGCTTCAGCTTCTTGAGCAGCATCAGCTTGGTCTCCTCATTCCGCAGATCCTGCCGCAGCCTGCGCAGGCTCTTCTCGCGCTCCTTCAGCTCGGCGTGGGAGAGCTCCTTGATGGGCACATACGGCGGCATCTCCTCATCGTCCGTCTCCGAGTCAATGTTGCCATTCTGCTGCCGCCCATTGGTACGTGCAGGCAGCAGCACAATGTCGGGCGCCTCAGCATATGACTTGGGCTCCGTGCGGGGCCGTAGCACTCGCCTTTGCACCTTGTTCTCATCCACACCGCCACCAGTGAGTACTCCTCCTCCCTCTGCAGTCCCCCCGCTGGAGGTGTTGTTTGTTGTTGTATTGTTGATGCTGGGAGTGGCGGTGCTATTCGTGGAGCTGCTGTTGGTGGGACTGCTGCCTGCCGTGCCATTCCCAGTGTTACTGTTGTTGTTGTTGTTGTTGTTGTTGTTGTTGCTGGTGCTGGTGCTGCTGGTGTTGCTACTGGTGGCGGGAATGGTGGCAGCAGCGCCTGCTGCTGCTGTTGGCGCTGGCGTTGGAGACGGCGTTATGGTTAGACCCGTGTTATTGGCCGTCAGTGCCCGCAGATCCCGATTGCTGAGCGCTGTTGAAGACGGCGCCGGCGTTATGGTTAACGCCGGATCCCGGCCAGAGCTCAGACTCAAGTCGACCACATCGTCGACCTCCATTTTGGCCATTTTCGCACGTCGCGTCGTCGTGATTCTGTATCTTGGGCAACTGAAAGCATAAGAAAGACAAGCAAATTCAAATTAAAGCAAATGCAAATGCAAAAGCATGACATGGCATGGGGGGTCGGAGGTCGTTTGGTTTTCATTAAGGGTTGAAATTCGGGCTGGGCTTCCTCTCCTCGTGTGTTTTTGTTGCTTTTTGTCTGCTGCCTTTGCTGTCACTTTCCCACTTCCCAAGGCGGATGTCAGCCACTAACCCCTAACGGTTTATTGTACATTTGTTGTTGCTTTTATCACACTGTGAAGGTCTCATTTGCTGCTTGGCTGCTCCCTGGGACATATGTACATTATGAAGATATCCTGATTTCAATTTACTGAGACGACGACCTTGTTGAGGCGAAACTGATAGCCCCCGCCCGCCACAGTTCCAACATCTCAAGCGATCTCAAGAGCTTAAGCAACAGAAAAAAAAGGAAAGCTCCGCCAAATCGCACAAATCAACTCTCTGATTCGCTTGCACAGATGTACATAGTGGTACATAAATACTCCGTCTGTCTGCAGCTGTAGGCATGCATGTTCGCGGCGGTACAACATTTCTTCCATTTCCATTCGGACTTTGAATATCTTCCGCAAGCCAGTCACGTTTTCGATTTAACAAATTTTCGCATACAAAGGCCGCTCTGGGGGCTCTGCTGAGTAGCTGCTACAAGAAACATTTACATGAAAACAAAGTGAGGAAAGTGTGGGGGAAAGCAGCACAATGGGGGGAAAAATAGTGGCAATAGTGGTAGTAGCAGTTCCAGAACTAGCAGAGACACAAACCACCTGACACACACACATACACACAGAGAGACGTAGACCGTAGCGACACGTGAGAGTGAAAGGTGAATAAACTTTTCAAACAACTCAAAACGGGGAGGCAACAAAAGCAACAATTCACCTGCTAATACTGATTTACAAGCTGCAAACAAAATAACAAACAAAAATCAGCAAAAATTATTTGAAAATCCCACCAGGCTACAACAAAGGAACACATCGAACAAAGCAATTGTGTTTTAATTGATACAATTTTGGTTTATTTTAAAACAACAAACAAAATCAGTTGTCGCACATTCTGTTCTGTCCACCTGACCTGTAATTCAATTTAACGGATTTGCGAACCATTCAGGCATAACAAAAAAAACGACAGGACCCTCAATACTAAACACCGCACTAAACAACAACAAAGCCAGGTCCAACAAATCCCAGGTTAATTTTTTCCCCTCACAGTGGTTTAAAATCTATAAAAACGAAACTGCGACTCCAGTTTTCGTGGAAATTTGTTAAACAATTTATTTGTATTTAAATTAAATCTGCTAAAATTAAAATCTTTCAACTACTGGCAACTGTGGAGAGGCTGGGGCTGGGCATAGATTGAATCAAGTTCGCATAATAATAGAGGAGAGCTTCAGCAGAGCCTAGTTTTGCCAACGAACGGCCTCAAGAAAATGTTGGTAAAAGAAAAGCGAATCGAATGGCATAATTATAAAGACGGCAGCGGCAGCAGCAGCAGCAAGCAGCAACAATATCCCATTTCCCATGGCTGCTGTTCCCAACGTGCCATAAATTAACTCGCTTTGAAAGTTTGCACTCACACAGGAGCACACACAGACGCAATCACACACCTACACGGCTACGTATGGGCACGATTTCTCGTTCGTTTCTTTTGCTCGTTTTTCTTGTCCCCCCGCAAGCGGCAGTCTACGTAGTCTCGTTACTTTCCACACTTGTGTCGTCATCAGATTGTGCGCCACTCGAACACAGCGTAGCCGTCGTCGCCCGCGTTTGCGATTACTAACAGCTCTGCACGGTGGACTGAAGTAGGCGAATTGTTTTGATTGTTTTGATAAACTATTAAATAGTTGCGCGCTTGACTTCTACAGTGGTCGAAACCTGTGGTAACATGGATGAATGTACATTAGCATTGCTAATATTGTTTGTTAAATAAATAAATATTTCTAAATTGGCAATTGTTGTGTTGAAAATTGTTGTGTATTAACAACCGTTGGCCTTATTTTCAGACAAAGTTATAAATCTGTATTTATAACTTATGCAAGTTGCAGCTTTCGCACCATTACTGCGTGGATTGCTTTTATAGCTTTTTAGTACCCAATAACCGCTGATTGAATTTCTAATGCTAATGGACTCTGTCCCACTGTGCGCCTTGTGTAAATGTGTGCGTGTGCTTTTGTATGCTCTGATGATTGTCAGCTTTTTTTCTCTTCTTATTAAATTAATACAGTTTTACATTTTTATAGATGCTTTTTAATGTACACACGCACACATGCATTAACAAATATGTGTAAAACGAGGCGAGACAATATGGGTGCTTGTATCACCCTCTGTCGGAATGTGGAAGAGGGAAGAATTAGTGAAACAAAAACTTTATCGATTTGTGCGACATTTCCATTACGATTGGGGAGTTTTATTTACCTGACCATAATTGTGTTTATCAGAGCGCTAAATGGGCTTCAATTAGCGCCCCAGGACTTTGGTTTACAGTGGGTCACTGATGGCACATGGTTTGTGGCATATGCATGCAAGTTCAAGTTTATCCCCACGTCTAACGGTCGTTGGCACCTGTCCAAGAAAGGGGAAAAGCGACGCGCTAGACTGACGCCCGATAGCTGACCAGAAGATAAGGATAGCCATCCAGCCAGGCAACCAGCGGGGTGGGGAGAGACTTTACACAGCCATCCCAGGCGAGCGCAACTTAGAAGCCGATGACGACAACGACAACGCAAAAAAAGCAAAGAAATAAGGTTAAATCAAAAGTACAGTTGTGTACATAGCGCGACGAGCAGCAGCAGCAGCAACAGCAACAGCAGCAGAAGGCAGCACCAACAACAAAAGCAAAGAGCAGCCGCAGCAACAGCAAAATGTGTTTGAGTGTGCGGTGTACGGATGAGAGCGGGAGAACGGAAGAGCGGGCATGCCAGAGAGAGCGAGAGCAAGATGGAAGAAGAGAGCGCACGTCGCACACACGCGACGACAACGATGAGGAGAGCGCGGCGGTGGCTGTGGTTGTCAGACGGTGGCTAGTGGGATACCCAAGTTTGGGGTCGACACTGGCTGTCTGGCCACCCACAATGGCACCCACAAACCCCACTCTCCAACTCACACTCCCACTCCAGCTCCCTCTGGCGCTAACCCGAACCCGAACCTAACCTAAAATCGATTTGCATATTATTTGGGTGCTATTCCCACTCATCAACAGTGTCTCAAGGATATCTCGATTACAATATTACAATGCTGCATTCAATAAGTTAAAGAAATATTATCAAAACAAGTGGCGGCTTAGCAAAAAGAAAGAAATACAAACATGAATAGTACTTCTCGGTTCGGCATTATAAGAAATGCGCATATCTTATGGCTGGGCCTGCTGCCTGTCCCATTGTACATAAGCAAGTCGAGGAGAAGATTGAAGTGGAGTGGTAGGGGGAGAGGTGGGCTGCTGCTGCTGCTGCTTCGTGAGAGAGCAAGCAAGCAGGCGAGCGAGTGAGAGCGCACGACTTGTTGTATATGACGGGTGGTAGGGGTAGGGGTGGGGGAGACCAACCAACCGACCGACCTTCCTCGTCGTACATACATATTTACTCATCCATGCCTGGGATTTGGGAGGTTCGGTTTCGGTTCGCTCGGGGTGGTGGCAGTGTCAGAGAAGGGACCGCCGGGATGATGATGATGATGCAATGGGTGCACCCAGAACAGAGCTCTAACCTACGATTGTCCAGTTCCAATTCCAAGCTGGAGCAGCTCAATGGAAAACTATCTTTAATTTACATGGAAATGTGACATCCCAATAGTCATTCTCTATACATGCATGCATACACATGCATTCTTATATACATATGTATCTATATGCTATGCATCTTATCTTGTGAGTGTCACTATAATTATGCAGCCCACTGTGGTGTATTGCTTTTTTCTCATTGCGTTTATTTATAGCCAGGCGATAAGCATTGGTCGGGTTGGGTGGGGGGAAAACGCAAACAAACAAAAAGAACCAAAAAGTTCTAAATGGGTTAACTATACACAACATTAACGGCAAATCAATGACGCACACTGTAAGAAAGACCAACGACCAATACATATTTGCAACAATAAAACAAATCAGAGCGGAATTAAGTACCCAAATGAAAACAAAATTCCATCCAAATACAAACCAGATACAAAGTTTGGGTACAAATTATATTCTATTGCTGTGTGTAAAAAAGATAATGCAATTTTTTTCACCATACAAAAAAACGAATTTCATCACAATTCTTGCCAAAAAATATATTTAACGGTTAAATAAAAAGTGTGCAAAATATACATTTTCATCTTTTATATTTGTTCAATGGGAATGTTGTGTGTTTTGAAATTGCAAACTAGTATGTGGCGTTTAATACTACACGACAAGTTATTGACAAATCATCTTTTGGTTGCTGGGTATTTCAAATATTTATTATATTATGGATTTGCTTTCCTTATCACGTCAAAGTAAATGCACAAACAAATACTCGTGAACGGTCTTTTATGGCTCTGCTGAGTAATTGGCATGTGGAAATGTGGACTAGGGAGGTGCCGGGGTTCCTCCCCACATGCTAGTGCACAGCTGTTTTGTGTCCTCTCTTTTCTTTTTGCGTGCTCTTGACCAGCGTTGCCAGCTAAATAAACAGTAAAAATACATAAGCCGCAATAGCAACAATGCAAAGACAAGCTAAAAATTAATGACTTTCAAAACTGGTTTTGTTTGTCCAAGTTGCTGGTTTCTGTTGTTTTTGGCGTTGTTGCTGGAGGCAGCAGAAAACTAAGAAGCCGAGGATGATGATGCTTCCAAAGCATCATTTAATGCTACGCTTTAAGAACATTTTGATACACTTGCAGAGAGAGAGAGGGAATATGATTCTGTGACAGATGTTTGAAACGCAAAGAGAAAATCATTCATTATCATTAGGAGTAGTACATGCATGAGCATATGTTTAGTTCCATGACTCATTAGATAACTCACCAACTCGTATTATAAAG